AAGGGGGCGCATTAGGTGATTCCTGAGGCTGTCAGCCCTGCTAATTGCCTCTCAACCTTCCCCTCATCACCAGGGCGCCCCCCCCACGAACTCCATTAGCCCCCCCCCTTCCCCTGATAGCCCCTAAATCAGCCCCGATTATTCACAGGAGGGAGGTCTGGGCTGAGCTGTGATTAAAGCTAGAGTGGAGGGGGTGAGGGATGGGAGCTTGAGTGCCAGGAAGACTGGCTGGCAGGCCATAGGCAGGGCTGGGAGGGAGAGAGGAGGGGATGGGGCCTGTGGGCAGATCCAGGCCAGGGACCACCCAGGGGTAAGGATCTGGGAGCTTGAAATAGGGAGGGGGGTCCAGGCTGAAGGTGGGCAACTGTGGGTAATAGCTTGTATTTTCGCCCCTCCAACACAAATTTAAGACCCAGGAAGGTTAGGAAGTGGGTCGTCCTGACCATTGTCATCATTGCCAAGCATTTACGCCAAGCTCGGCTGGAGAGGCAGGGGTGGCAGCAGGAATGCTCTATCCTTTCAGGCTTTCCTGAGAGGGCCTGCTGTTCCTTTCAGCTCTCACCCAGGGCAGCCACCTCTCCTCTGTCCATGTTCTGGTGAGCACATCTAGTAGGGCTGTGGGTGCGACAGGGAGTGGCAGGTGTGCTGTGAGGTGAGTTGTATGTTCAGGAGAGAGACCAGCCTCATGCTCAACTTTCAGCCACTCTTTCCCAGTGGGACCAGGGAGCCTCTCCAGCCTTCTCCAATTCCTTCAAGGCAGCTGCCTCTAGGACTTGACAGCAACTCCTTCCCATCCTGGAGGAAAGTGGCACCCACACTTTGCCCCCTAGCTCCCCCCGTTAGCACCCTACTGTGCTCTGAGCCCACACACTCCTTGACACCTCCGGTCCAGGCCATCATCACTGCTCCCCTGGGTCCATGCAGTAGCCTCCTCACTGGTCTCCCTGCTGCCACCATGCTCCCTACGACCCATTCTCAACACTACAGTAACCCTTGTAAAACCTAGTTGCATTATGTCCCTCCTCTGTCCAAAATCCTCTAGTGGCTTCTCATCTCAGGCAGAACAAACTCCACAGCCTACCACCGCTGGCAAGGCCCTGCAGGATTTGATCCCTGTTACACCTCTGTCCTCAACATCTCTCACGATGTCTCCTCACTCACTGGGTTGCAGTCTCCTAGCCAGTCTTTGAATATGGCACATGCTCTGGCCTCAGAGCCTTTGTACTTGTTCTTCCCCTGCCTGGAATGCTCTTCCCCCCAAAATCTGCATGGCTCCCTCCTTCACCTCCTTTAGGTCTTCACCTGGAGATTACCTTTTTAGCAAGGCTTTCCCTGACCACCTTTCCAAAACTGCACCCCCAGCACTCCATATCCCCTTCCCATGTTTTGTTTTTCTCTATTTTTTGTGATAGGACTTCCCATCATCCAATGTGTCATGATCATACTGATTTAGTTTATTTATCATCTCTCCACCAGCACTACTACTAGAATGTAAGCTTCATTTTTTACTTTCCATATTTAGGAAGAGATTTTTGTCTATTTCATTCATAGCTATAGCCCCAGTGCCTGCACATAGTAGCTGCTCAACAAATCTTTACTCAGTGAATGAATAATTGACCCTTTTGCCAACTAGCATGTGAGCTCTTTGAGGAAAGAAACCTTTATTTCTCCCCTAAATAAAGTACAGTGGTACCTCGGTTTTCAAATATCTCCATTGATGAACATTTCGGGTTACGAATGCCATAAACCCAGAAGGAAATGCTTCAGTTTTTGAACACACCTCAGAAGTCGAACAGGCCACACGGCTTCCGCTGAGGGCAAGATCCTGAGGCCCAGCTGTCGGCTGTGGATCCTTCGGTTTTTGAACGTTTCAGAACTCTAACGGTCTCCCAGAACGGGTCACATTCAAAAACCAAGGTACCGCTGTATTAAATATAAAGGTCTTAAAAGAGTTAAAATTAGTAGTTGCCATTAACATCATCAACTCATTTCCTGTTTCTTGGGCACCAGGTAAACACAAAGTGAGTATTTGTGATGAATGAGGACCTTGTGCCCCTTGTACTTCCCTTGGAGGCAACAGAGGAACTTCCGTCCTTCTAGCTATAGGACAGGGCCCAGGAGCATGTTGAGGTCCAGACTGCTGCAGGAGCATTGCGCAAGGTGGCAGTCATTCACTATAACGTCTATGGAGCACTCACTTCAAGCGAGGTCCTGGGATCACAAAGATTTCAACCTGGCCTCAGTCCTTGAAGAACTCAAGAGTATAGGGAGAGAGGCAAGTTAAACTTTCATATGCAGGAGTGGGGTAGGGAGGGAGGGGCAGAGGCTGGAAAGACTCCCAGAGAAAGGGCAGTTGAGCTGATTGTGAGAACAAGCAAACCAGGTCAAAGCAGGGAGGAGCTCACGTTCCTCTTCTGTGGTCCACAGTCTTCCCATTTTCCCCTAGAAGGTGTTGGCTCTTATGCCTTTCAAAGCCCCTCTGGCCTTTGACATGCTGCAACTCTATGGTCTTTGACCTCCGGAACCTGGGCTTTGCTCTGGTTTCTGCTGCCCCCTGCTGGAGACTGTTGGTAGCACTCAAGAAAAGCAGCAGCCAACCTCTCCTTTTCCTTTTTTCCTTCCTTCCCCAAAGTGGCCAACATCATCCAATCCACACCACCACCACCCCCTCGCACAACCTTCCACCTCTCCAGCACCAAATTAAACTACTTGCTTGTTTCTCAGATAGAAAATATTCTCTACATATTATTGACAAAGGACTTGATACCAGACTACATAAAGAATTTATAACCATTATAACCCAGCAATCCCACTCTTAGGTAGCACCAAGATAAACAAACACATATTTCCACACAAGACTACACAGATGTTCATGGTAACTTTATTGATACTATCCCCCAGTTGGGAAAAACCCAGTGCCCATCAACTGGTGTAAAGATAAAACAATGTGGGGTAAATCCATACAATGGAATATCACTTAGCAATAGAAGCAACAAACTAGTGAAAAACCTTACAGTGAGTGAAAGAAGCTAGGCACAAATGAGTACCTATTGTATGAGTCATTTACATGGAATTCTAGAACAAATCTACAGTAAAGAAAAGCAGGTCAGAGATTTTATAGGGCTGGGTTTGGAGGTGAGAATGGAATTGGGATGCATCATTATCTGCAAAGGGGCACAGGGAAGTTTGGGGGGAGAGGGAAATTTGTGTTCTTTTTTAAAAAAATTTAGATTGGGCTGGTGGTTACACAGAAGAACACATTTACCAAAACTCATCAAACTAAGACATTGAACTATGTGAGATGAGCCAGAAGCAAAAGGACAAATTTGTATAATTCCACATTTTAGGTACTAAGAGCAGTCAAATTCATAGAGACAGAATAGAGGCACAAGGGGCTGTGGGAAGGGGAGTAGGGGGTTATTGTTTAATGAGGACAGGGTTTCAGTCTGGGTGATGGAAGAGCTCTGGAGATGGATGGTGATGATGGTTGTTGCACAATATGAATGAACTTAATGTCACTGAACTGTACACAAAAATGTTTAAGCATGGCCAGCGTTGCTCTGTGGTTGAGTGTCACCCCATGAACCAAGAGGTCACCAGTTCTATTCCTGGTCAGGGCACATGGCGGGGTTGCTGGCTGATCCCAGATAGGGGGTGTGGAGTAGGCAGCCGGTCGGTTTCTCTCTCATGGATGTTTCTATCTCTCTATCCCTCTCCCTTTCTCTCTCTCTAAAATCAATAAAAACATATTTCAAAAAAATGTTTAAAATGGTCAATTTTATATTAAGCATATTTTACCACAATAAGAAAATCTAAAAAACTGTCATCAAACTGTACACTTTTAAATGGGTCCTTTTTTTTTATCATATGTCTACTATACCTCAATAATATAAAGTTGATTTTTAAAAGCCTCCAAGGAGGAATGATCCTGTCTTGCCTTTCCTGATCTATTGTAGCTTTTTTTGTCGCAGGCAGTGGTTTGCCCTGTAATAAGACTGACGGACCAAGGACCTCGGTTCAAATTCTGCTTCTGCCCCTTACTAGTGTTCTAACCTCGCGGGACATCCGGCTCATGTAAATGCAACCAATCTCAATTTAAGGATTAAACGAAGCAGTGCACTTAAAAGGCTTATGATGGTGACAGCAAATGTTATAAAATTGTCTTTGTCCCCGCAGACAGAGACTGGTAAGGGGAAGGTGCCCTAAGAAGGAGTGGGAGAGGTTGCCCACCTCCGGAGTGAGCGCAGTGGTCCAGGTCCGCTCTGCGGGCTGTGCGAGGTGGCCGCCGGCCGCCAGGTAGCGCCCGGCAGACAGGCTAGGAGCTCAGGCGGAGGCGGAGACTCCGCGGGAGGCTGTTTTCCAGAGTCACACCGGCCCACGAGGTGTTTGGGGGCGACCGGAGAGGAGGAGAGGCCTTTCCCCTGCCACCTTTCCCGAACTGGGATGCGGCCGGTCGGTCCCCGTCTTGTCTTGGACGAGATCACTGTCGTGGGCCGCGCTGGCAAGGTGCGATCTCATTGACTCTCCTCTGCAAGCCCACTTTGCAGACTGGAAGGCTGAGGCACGAGAGGCGCAGGGGCCCCGCCTCACGGCTGGCGGAGATCCGCCCTTCTCCCTGCTCATCCCTGTCTGCTCAGGTGCCGGCTGCCTGGGGTCAGTGCCGCTCGGCCTCTGCAGTCCCACCCCAACCCCGTTTCCCTCCCGGGTTCTCTGGAGCTCCCCCCAGACTCCCGGCTTCCTTGTCAAAACTTCCTGCCGCAGCGCTGCCCGA